CACCTGGTCATTTTATTATTGATGAAACATTAACCACATTCGCCGAAGAGGAAATTCAAGATGTGTCAATAATCAGGCTTCCAGGTGGTTAATATGAAAAGCATTTTTGGATCATCCCAGGGAGGACAACATCGTTCGTATAGTCACCGTCCGCACATCACAAGGAAATATCAAATATGCTCTACATAAACTTTGCTTTTCGAAGATAATTAACTATTAATAAAGATTATCATCTTCAAAGGAGGAGTATGTTGGATATATTTTCAAGCAAACACCTGTTTCTCCACCACAAAATTGTTATCAAACTAAACTACAAAATCATAGACAAGCAGCTTCCCATATGTATGTTGAATCTAAAAAAATAATCAGTTTCATTGGAAGCATTATCACATTGTTAAAGTATTTCACAACTTTTTCAAATATAAGAAAGATATACCAATAAATAATTCAATAAATATAATATATTTACGAACAAAAGTGGGAAAGAAGTTGGTCTCAAAACTATTACTTAAAAAACTTATATGTGTTTAATTATAATATTTAGAAACTTTCCATTTCAGTTTTTTCTACATTTCGATGTTGAAATATGCGAAATATATAAAATATTATTAATATTCAATTATAATTTATTTAAAATTTAATGATAATATAATAATAGATATTAAAATTACTAGTTTTAAATATATGGAAATTATATGTAAAAACAAGAGGAATTAAAAATAAATTCAATTTTGATGCGAGCAGAAGTGCAGTAAATGTCAAATAAAAACCATATTAAAATTGCATTGTGTAAACGCATGTGCTACCAAACACACCACATTTCTCCATACAAATATGTAGAAAAGTATGAAATAAATATATAAAAATACGTATACGAAATGAATACAAAAAAAAAACGTACAGAGAAAAGAAAAAGCTGGCAACATATCATTTAAATTCCCGTACTTCAAAATTATTTTGCATAATTGCAGAAACCCACTCTAAAGGCCTGTTTTTTTAAATTATTTTTTCCTCATTCAGAAACTACTCGGTCGCAATTAAATCCGCTCCTTTATGTAACTGGCAGTTCAATACAAAATTACGATTTATATGCGTGTATATATATAAATAAATCTGTTTACTTTCGTCGGGTTTTAAATTGGATTTGCTTGGAGTTTCGTTAATGAAAATGAGAGAAAAAAATGGGGAAATGAGAAAAAAGGTAAAAAGTAAAAGCGAACGACGATTACGTTATTTAAAATAAACTCGAAACAATAAACGTCAAATGGATGTATGTATGTATGTATGTATGCAGCAAGGTGTTTCTACTTTCATGTTTTCTCTTTCTCTTCCGTGCCGTCATGTAATGATAATGTTGCTTTGTACATGGGGAACCGTGGATGAGGTCTAATGGTAGGGCTGTTCAGAATAATAACATCGGCAGCAAGGGTATGAGGGCTGAGAGAGAGAGCAAAAAAAGTGAAAATGAAAAAAAAAAACGTGAGGGCGCGGATAAAGTGCGGTAAAACGTAAACATATTTCGCTGCTTGCGAAAACAGCTTAACTCGAGGGTGGGAAAATATTGCCATATGGAAATGTTTCGTTTCCACCCGTAGAATGAAACGCTTCTTCACAAATGAAACATTAGGAGAGGACACATACAAGTGGTGCAAATTAGTGTAATGTAATGTGGAATTATACAATGTTGTCTCTATATGAGATATAACATACATATTCTTGTAATCAGCCATTACTACGATGTTGGTAAATAATTAGGTCAAGTCTATTTAAGTTGTCATTGGAAGTATTTCATATTTTTACCAGAATCACGAGACCAAACTAGGTGGTTTGTATAATAATACAAATTTCAGACACAATGACATAGCATGAGTGTCTGAAATTTCGTTCCTGGGATACCTTGTTGACTAGGTAGCCAGCAAAGACTCACATGGATGTTGATCTTATTTTGCTCCCAGATGGTTTCTCTTACTTTCAGTCTCCAAATGTTAAGTATTGTTTTGGTTTGTTATTAGGTTGATTGAGAGTCACTCCTGTACTAACTAACACAGTAACAACAGAATGTCAAGACAAACATAGATTAGCTAGTAGATGCAAAGGAGTAAAGCACTTCATAACAGTTGGAGAGGTTTGACATGACTCCCTGATTCTAGAATGGCTTTCAATTGGGAAATTGCTGTATTATAGCATGCATAGCTTCGCTCATGACATAACCCTACATTAAGCACAGGATTTGGTTTCTATAAGTAAATAAAAAAAGGTGCGTCTTATGGTCCAAAAACCAAGTAATATTTAATTTATTAGATAAGTGATTTACTTAGAGTTGCTACACTTTTTTTTCTATTACTCTTTAAAATAAATAAAACAAAAGCATATTTGCTACTGACACGGGATTTGAAGAGTTGGATGAGTATAATATCCTTACAAATTTTGCACACTTCGGCAGACAACCGTGTCGCGTACCCTCGCAAATCTTAAATCATTTTATTCTATTTCTTGTTCGATTAAGTTGATGCAAAGTTCAATTATCCTTCCTAACGGAATAATACAGAGAGAGAGTACATTTTCTATGCAGGCAAAGTTCTCTCAACCCTTCTGTACGCCCACACAAAAGAGGAATGAAATTACGTAATTAGATTCCGCTTGTCTTGCCAAATTATTATATGAAATACAGCATGAAGTTTTTCCTCTTGAACGCAAGAGATTTCAGAAGCGATTATCCACGACTTTGTACCTTATTTAGCTCCTACGTCATTCAAGATGCAATCGCGCCTCCTATCATTTAATGTAAAGTACATAGAGCTTAATGTTTAAAAGGATGTATATTCAAATTATTATATAATCGCATAATTGAAATATAATAAAGTTATTGCATAATTTCTAGCCAATTTAGTTTGTATTTTTATTGAAAAATACATATGTTTTTATATAATAATATTTTAAAACAATTTAATATATTAATTATACTTTGTTAATTAGACAGTATTAACTACAACTGATATGTAAAAGAAATATGATTTTTACCAAATTTTAAAATTATCATTTTCTTGAAACAATTTAAATAGTTATAAATATGCCAGGTTATGCAATAAACCTTTTCATCAGTTCAAAGATTTTGTTATATAATCCTTATTACAGTATAATTTAAACATTCATTACAGAAATCACGAGTCTCACGAAAAGATGCTCTTTTACGTTTTCTTCCGTCTCTAATTCAGACTTTAATAACGTAACGCGAACGTAATTATCCTGTTGCCTTTTTCTCTCTTACTCTGCCCAATTCTTTTTCAGCGCTGCACTGAATAGTTTTAATTTAAACTCATTAAATATAATTATAACGCTTGTCTCATCGTGAAGTTGTCTTTTTTGTTCCGACTGAATATTTTAATAAAGAAACTCTTGCATTTTTTCAAACTTAATTTTCTAAGAGTCAAAAAAAATACATTTAGATTACAATTTCATTATTACAAAATATATGTATTAGTTACACACACAACTATCTAATATTGAAACAATATTCAAATTTTTATAATACATTGTCCAATACATTCTAATTTGTGATTTCCTTGAATTTTCAAAGCTTTTCACAATTTGCTCAAAAACATATTTAGAACCGAAAGCAAACTGGGAACCAACTTTATTCAATAATAATAAAATATTAATGTAATTCAGTTTCTTCAAGTTCTTCTCTCAATTCCTTGAATTTGTCTTGACAGATGTTTGAGTTTTTAAAATAAACGAGTTCAAGTAAAAAAAAAATATATTCCAAGTCGAATTTCTTAATAAATACATACAGTGGAACCTCGCTTAACGAGCACCTTGCATAACGTGCATTTTGCTTAACGAGCAAAATTAATTGTAAGAAAAATAAGACGTTTAACGAGCGACGATGAGAAGAGAAGTCCTGGTTTGCGCGCCAGCTACATCATTTTTAAAACTTGTGTACATACATTATGTGTATTTTTGAATATGTTTTAATATACGAGAATTCCACTACACAAGTAGAAATCCGGAAATTTTGGAACGAATTAAAGTAGTAAAGCGAGGTTCCACTGAGTTTTCAAAAATGTATGTGTACACTTGCAATAAAAAGCAGTAAAAATAGTTTGATTTACCATTAGGGAATTTTTGTATACAGAAATACGTATTTAATTTTGTTATTTTTCTATAGATTAATTTAATAAACTATGTAAAAAATGGAAAGTGTAATGCCAGCTTTGAGTATATAATTATAAAGAAGAGCATATATAAAAAAAAATATATTGATATATTTCATAATCGTTTATTTCTGAAGACCTAAAAAATATTATCTTAGATTTTGGTTGTCATGTGCATATAACAGTTGATATTTAAATGACATACGTCTAAAACTGTAAATAATGTAGTATATATGATTGATTTAAGATTAATCGCATGGTGGGCAATAGAACTATCGATTTTTTAGTGTATTTTTGCTGTAGTTATAATGCATGGCTCGGGGAACTTGTTTGTTTTGCGGATGTAGAAAAATGGAGGAGCTATTCGCATACAGTATGAATGCATTTTACGATGGCGACGGATGGGCGCAATTGAAAGGGCTTATGTGTCGCGACGGGCGCGTCAATTTCGCGTGCAGAAGGCATAGTCATTTCAAGTCGACGTCGAGCCCAATAACGATAACTTGACAGGAAGTTTTGACGGCCCGACGGAAGCGTGTGTATATATACACACAGGGATATGTATGTTACTGTGTGAGTGGTATACACAAAGCGAGTGTGACATGAGGGCCGTCACCAGGCGCCTCCGTATCTCACGAATTAATCGACGTCTCCAAATATCACCACCACTACCAGCACTATTATTATTAGGTGGCATGGAAGAAGAGAGGAATGGTTCAAATGTAAATCAATGTCAACGTAATCTGGAATACAGTGGTAATAGTATGGAAATATTCATGCAGCGTAGAGGCCATTTATGAAATTTAAGGGAATAGGATAGGGTTTCTACGGAAAGGATATTCGTACCGTTGGTGCTGGGTCCCATGAGGAGGACGGAGGCCGGCTGCGGGGTGTCCGGTTTGACCTCGACCACTAAACTGTTGGCCCTGTATAGTCGGAACTGTGTCGCCTCGCATCGCAGACGGATTGCACCCCAGCTACCCCCGACGCCGGTCAACTCTAATCTACTATTCGCCGTTTCCAGCAGCTCCGTGTCCCTAATTATTGACGACGACGTGGACCCAGGTACCTTAAAAGTTAAAAGCAAACCGAATTATTAACATTCAATTACATTCCCTACATCCTAAATAATTAGTAAGCTTCGTGTACAGGTGTATGTGTAATAATATGAACATTGCTTGACGTCCCTTGCTGCTAAATACAACGTTTCTACAATATATCGCTTTTAATTATTTCCTTCCTTGTAATTCTGTAATGCGATTCTTCTTATGTAAACTAACCATTCGACTTTATAATAGCAAACTGCATTATTCATATATAATTACATCATACACCATGAATAAAGCCAAATACAAAAGTACAAAATTCTATATCGCTTTCAATTAAGTTCTTCCTTATAATTTGGTAACACGATACTTCTTATGTAAAATTACTATTGAACTATGTAATAGAAATCTGTATTATTAATTATCAATTACGTTCAACAATTTACAATTTTATAATTCTTTTAATTCTTCCTTATAATTTTATAATGTCCTGTAAGTTTACCTAAGCTAAATATTGAAGTTTGCAATTGAAATAGGAAATTTTAATAACAAACCGCATTATCACTTGTAATTATATCGTTAATAATAAGTTCGTTCACATAGAATTGCATGTATTATATGAACTCAAATTCTATATCGTTTACTTTCCCTGTATCTCTTTCAAATAATACTTGTTATGTAAAATGACCATTGGAGTGATTACGCAAATATAATATTGGACGTGAGCTACATTATAAATATTATAATACATCATACATTGCCAATGATGCTAAATCCAATACAGTGAGACCTCGTTTATCGTTTCCTCGATTAAAACTTATTCTATATAATGCGGTTTACCCGAAGCCTAAAAAGAGCTTTACATATTTGCTACATGTGAAAGTACCCTTTCGTTTAGCGTTTTTCGATTGGGAATGCATCTATTATTTCATAATTCAAAAACGCTTTGAGTTAATTGCTTCCTTATAATTATAAAATGTGATACTTTCTATGTAAACTGACTATTAACAAACGCATTAATTTCTTCTAGATTATTGAAATACTTCTGGTATATCTTAGATAAGCCAAGCATTGGTTTCATATTAATTTTGTAAGATAAATTACTTAAACTAAATTATATTTCCCTAATAACATTAAAAACAATATTACTTAATTTCACAATTTTAAATAATTTCTTCCATGTAATCTTATAATATAAAATATCATAAGCGAACTAAGCATTTGACTTATAGTAGAAAGCTGCATTACATCATATTTTCTTAATAATACTAAATACAATATTACACAATTTATTATCTCCTTTAATTTATTTCTAATTTGTAATTCTAATCATAATGTCATAATCTTTACGTGAACTGAAAATTGGTCCTTCTAATTGAAATTCGAACATATAAGAGCAAACTGCATTATGAACTTTCAATTACATCCTACATCCTCAATAATTAGTCCGCTTGGTGTACAGGTTTATGTGTAATTTGAACTTTGCCTAACATCTCTTGTTGCTAAATACAATAGTATAAATTTGAACCGTTCATTAGACATACATGTTTCCAATTTTCTCATTTATAAGCAATTACTTAATTATATGTATATATTGGGCAGAAAGACCGTTGGCTAGATTTATTTTTCTTATTTTAATATTATGAAGAATATTTATGTTATTTCCATTTCTATTTTTTCTATTAGAATTTCCTTTTCTTTTGTTGGTGTGAACTTATATTCGATTATATTTGTTTATTGTTATTCATCTTTGCATTGTGGATATAATTTTGATTTTGCTTTTTCTTAATACATAATATTTCCATTTTATAATTCCCATCATCTTTTACGTAATCTATTATACTGTAGTATTAAAGAAGAAACGGCTAGCACTGCCATATACAAGGATGCATGTGTAATGTCTTTACATTTATTGGAATGGCAACAAAGTAATTGCTGATTTTATATTTGGATGAAAGTAGGTAGTGTTTCTTTTGAATGACTTCTGTCAGTGACATAATTATATAGTTTTGGCATTTGTCAGCAGTGTACTTTGGCATTCTTAAAAATAAAATTAAGTGTATTTTTTGTAAGATTTGTTTGTGTTGTTTCAATTTTAACATGGAGAACAAAAGCAGATACACACATAATTAATCACTAGCCAAAAATTATTGACGCTTGGTTGGGAAGTGATGTCACATCCGTCAGGTGGATGTAACCATCACCATCGGATTACCATTTGTTTAGAGCCTTACAAAATTCGTTGAATGGTAAAACCTTCAATGATGATAGTGTTGTGAAATTACACCTAGTCCATTTTTTTGCTGATAAAGACGAGAAGTTGTATGAGCTTGGGATAGTGAAGTTGATGGAAAGATGGCAAAAGATCATTAATCAAAATGTAAAATATATCATTGAAATGTTATTGAAATGTTTAATAATTATATTTTAAACATCACGTTTCATTCGTATAAGAAAATCGGCAATTATTTTGTTGCCAACTCAATAATTGGAAGTCGACGATTTCGATGATGATGCCAAGTATATGAACTCAAATAAATGTATGTAATATTATTAGGTTATTCTCATAATTATATTGTTTTCAATATTAGTATACTTTTATGATTTAGTGTGTTTTAGAGTAAATTGCAATGGAAAATAAAAGATGAACATTATCAACATTAAATTACACCGTACATCATACATATTTGGATTATTTTCTATAGTGTAAAGGTGTTACATGAATACTATAAATTATACATAGTTATATCATTTAGTTTGTATTAATAATTATTGTCAAGTCTAATGACATTTTTATTTGTATCTACATTTATTGTTATTATGTTATTGATATCCTTGTAATTTATTACATTTATGAAGATGATTGATATTCAAAGTTACACTCATTTCTTTTTCACAGTTTTCTTTAGAAAAAATGGTAGTGGGGAAGAGAATTTATAGTCATGACTCGACAAAGTTTGAATACCACTGGCATAAGTTATGATGAATATAACGTTTATAGTCAGCATTAAAATTAAAAGTATAAACGTGTTTTCATATACTCATCCTTTTTCGTATAATTATCTAGAGAATGAAATTTATCTGCACTTCCGTTTCAATACATAAATCTACGTTGAATAGCTGTAATTCCAGTACACTTTATAGCGCTACCCAACTTGGATACTGACCAATGCTATTTTAGTTCTGTATCAGATAAAGATGGAGAGCGTAAGAGTTCCGTTGGGGACGTCCTGAATCGCATTGTTATATGTACTTGTGAACAATAACCTTACGACTTTATTTTTATTTTTTGATCCTCTGAATGTCGACAATCTAAATAATCTGATTTTCGTATTGACTTCTCATTCGAGTGAAAATAACCGTTTCTCTTAATAACAGAATAATTTTATATAAACCTAGAATTCAGTATGAAAGCCCTATATCATTTTGCGGTTATTTCGTCCCATGCACGGCCACAATGAGTTCATCTTTGTGTTGTAATCATTGAATAGCGTTAAAAAAACTCAAATCGGGGACATTGAAATCGGGGTTGTTTGATGGTTGACAAATCTTATGTTCCACCCATTTTCAGTACCAGTGCGAACTACTTGCTGGATTTAGAGGCATGTTTCTATAATTGTTCGAATTGACCTTTTCGTAGTTTTTGCAATTATATTTATAGTGTTTTTAATTGGTTATGATTAATTTTTAATATTTTTATTTTAAAGTTTTATTATTTTTTTTTATATAAAATTATATAAAAAACTTTTATATCCATTTCAAATAATTAAAGTGATGAATCGTAATTACCGCAATAGAAAGTAAAAGCTGTTCGCCCATAATGAAATATAACCAATTTTGAAAAGAAGCGGTATTAGCAGCAATTTGGAACGTTTTACTTCCGAAGGCGTTGCAATAATTATGTAATTACATTAAGTGCGGAAGTGGGCCGTGCATGAAAATGTGTCGGCGGCAACGGCGGCGGGGATCCCAACCCCCCGGAGCACCAAATTGCGACTAATCTGCTACACCTCCGCCGCCTCCGCACGCAACCCCCGACGATAATATTACCAGTGATTCATGTGTTCAGAAGACTGGGGGTGATAAAGGCCTAAATCATCACAATTACTGTCAATTAACGTTTGCGTAATACACACATTTCCGAGTGGGGCTCGACTAATTAATCGAATCGAAAACCCTAATTACAAGATGCTAACTAAAAAGTAAAAAAAAACTAATAAAAATAAATATAAAATAACAACCACTGGTTTTAAAGCCTATATGCAAATTGGCGTTACATAAGAATAATAAAGTGTAATAAAGTGTAATAAAGATTGAAATAACAATGGAAATAGCAAAATAGAAATAAAGAACGCTCTTAATTACCGGAGTAATTGCAATTTATAATTAGAGCTTTATTCAATTAAACGAAAGTAAGTTTAATTACAGCCACAGACAAGATGAGTAGTGTTATTATGAAAGCGGCACGTTTTTCAAGTGCTTCTACTCTTCTTTTTTTCGTTCTTTCTTTCTCATATACACACTCAATTTTGTTTGTGTATTCATTATGCAATTCGTTGCGGACATGGAGGAAACTTTGCTAATTATTGATTCAATTATTGTCGGTAATTGAAAACTTCCACGTCCGCTCCGCCTGTTTCCGTGCGATCCATATGAAATCCGAGGATCGGCTGGGGGCGGCGAGAGGGAGCAAATGCCACTCGATCTGCGGAAAACTGCCCCAAAACTCGAGTGGGACCGAAACTTTTTTACGGCCGAAATGAGCGAAAAAAAGAGAGAGAAAATAAATAAATTTAAAAAAATAAATAAAGCTCAACATTAATATACAAATTAAATTCCCGTCAAGTTCTAATAAAGTTAACACTTTAAAACATGTAACATGGACGAGTTAGTTTCGAGCACACCTAAAACTTTTATTATTACATAATTAACCTGTTTGCGACTATCCAATTTCGTTTTGAAACGAAAGCACACGACTAATTTATTATAAACAATGATCACGCTAATAATAACAGTTAACTCG